TTTATTTTTTATATTATTTTTTTTTTTTTTTTGAGACAGGGTCTTGCTCTGTTTCCCAGGCTGAAGTACTGTGGTATGGTCTCTGCTCACTTTAACCTCCACCTCATGGGATCAAGCAATCTTCCCACCTCAGCCTCTTGAGCAGCTGGGATTACAGGCAAGCACCACCATCACACCCGGCTAATTTTGTAATTTTGGTAGAGACGGGGGTTTCACTATGTTGCCCAGGCTTGTCTTGAACTCCTGAGCTCAGGTGATCCGCCCACCTCGGCCTCCCAGAGTGCTGGGATTACAGGTGTGAATCACCACACCTGGCCTTTAAATTTTTTTATTATCCTGGACTGCTGTGATAAAGGCTAAGTTTCTGTGAACATTGTATTTCCTAAGCAAATGGTATCTTTTGAGTTTTCTTTTTCTGGAGCAGAACGTGACATGTTAAAAACAAAAGCATAGAAATATTCCACTTTAATGGCCAGACAAGGTAGCTCACACCTGTAATCCCAGTGCTTTCGGAAGCTGAGGTGGGCCGATCACCTGAGGTCAGGAGTTCGAGACCAGCCTGACCAAAATGGTGAAACCCCATCTCTACTAAAAATACAAAATTGGCCAGGTGCGGTGGTGCATGCCTGTAATCCCAGTTATTCGGGAGGCTGAAGCAGGAGAATCACTTGAATCCGGGAAGCGGAGGTTGCAGTGAGCCGAGATCGCTCCTTTGCACTCCAGCCTGGGCAACAAGAGCAAAACTCCATCTCAATTTTAAAAAAAAGAAAAGAATATTCCACTTTAAAGAACTGTGATCAAAGGCTAACGTTGCCATTATTCCTGTAACTGAATTCCATTTTGATAAAGTCCCTAGCATATGCCGTCTTGCTTTTCAAGTCTTGCTTGGTAAATCCGTGGTTTACTAGCGTAAGTCAACTGTGAACAGTTTAATTTCTGATCCGTATTGTAGGCTGATGAGGAAAATAAAAAAATGAATGGAATGGTATCAGATCAATGTTACCAGCTGCACATGTTAAAAGCATAGAACTTAAGTCCTCTAATTATATATATCACCCTGTGAGACACATGGTTTCCAAATCAACGTTTTTTTTTTTTTTTTTTTTTTT